TTCCAGTTTTGCCAGCACCATTTGTTGAAGATGCTATCCTTCCTCCATTGCATGCTTTTAGCCCCTTTATCAAATATAAGATAGTTGTAGTTTTGTGGATTGGTTACTGTGTCCTCTATTCTGTACCATTGGTCCACACAAAAACAGCATGGTACTGGTACCAATCATGATTTAAAAAAGGAAGTTTAATATAGCGTACATGAGATTGGAGATGGATGTCACTGGTGTGGAGAGTATAAGAAAATTTAAGGAAAAGGTAAAACATGCCTACAGTTAGTGAATTACCAACGTGGCAGCAATCCAGCTTYACTAATGGGATCGATGGGAGAATAATAATATGAGAGCTTTGGATCTAATTGTAAGGGACATCTGTGTTGAAAGAATATGTTTATTTCTACTACTTCTTGGAAATTCTCTAGGCCTGCTGGGAGGGGAGTGGATGATGAAACTGGGGGGAGGCTAGCTGAAAGATGATGTAAATTAGGGCTGTCCAGGAGGGGTGCTTGCTGTGCAATGGAGTTGAGGAGGAAGTGACAGAACTGGAAACCTCCAGGACATGTGGTGTGAAGAAGAGTGGGCAGATGAGAAGTCTTCAAATTTAAGCCTGGGTGACTGGGGRCAGGAGATGATGGAGTGGTTCACGATGGTGAGAAGGGGCAAATATCCCTAGGCTGATGCAGATTGCTTTGGACTTCACATGCCCGCAAGGTGTGTGGGGAGAAGTGTAGAATATAGTCATGGTACTCAAGGCAGGCTTGAGAAGACCCAAGGGGAGTGTGAAGGGGTGGGATGCAGAGAGCACAGGAGACTTCTGGCCAGGCCCACGTTTCTGCTGTGTGAGGAGAAACATCAGCTATAGAGGGTGTTCTGTTCAGTCCGAAGCTGGGTACACTGCAGTTCAGTTCTGCCACTGAACATCTGGAATTAGCACAGACCTACAAAGTCAAGGTCTATGATGTTTTGGAGAGATCCAAGGAGGCAGGTTCAAAAATATAAGAAGCATATGATGAGAGGGTGGGGATGCTGGGTCAGTCCAACTCCTGGGAAAGAGAGAGGACTGGATCTTGAATTCAATCCTATCGCCAGTGGTTTACTCAGTTATGCCTATTTAAACCCAGAGGGCATGGTGCCCAACAAGACTGCTGTTTTTTTTTCAGATGCCAACTATACTTCAAGGGTTCTGAGGCCATCTGCACTTCTGACTGACTGGCTAGAAATGTGGAGTGCCCATGACCCCATCAGGTTTGATTATTTGCTAGAATAATTCATAGAATTTAGGAAAGCACTACACTTACAACAGTTTTATTTTAAGGATACAAATCAAGAGGAGCAGCCAAAATGGAGAGATGCATAAGGCAAAAGTTCTGGAAAAGTTGCAGAGCTTCCATGCTCTCAACTCAAGGAATCTGGGCATGTCCCCCTCCGAGGACATCCAGTTGTTCACTAACCTGACCTCCACTGAGCCTTCATTTGCAGAATTTTGCCTGGGGTTTTATTATGATTAAGTAAGCTATTGCCTACATAACTAAACTCAATATCCAGTCCTCTCTCTTCCCTAGAATTTGAGCTTCCCATTCTCTAATCTTATCTTTCATTAATTATATTTTTTGAACCTTCCCCCTTGGACCAATTTCTCCCTCCAAAACATTATAGACCCAATCTGTTTCCTATGAGCCATGATGATGCTTTAGCTAGCTGAAGACATTTCCAAGCTTCCTCTTGCCCCAGATATGTGTGTGTGTGTGTGTGTGTGTGTGTGTTTGTATTTTCTAGTTGAATAATTCCAGTATTCTCTTATGTTTCTAAAATGACATGATTTCCAGATCTTCATGGGCTAACCACACTTTTCTGAGTTTGCTTTTAGCAAGAATACTCTCATTCGTACACAGACTCTGGAATACCATACAACATTGCAACTCTACTCCCCCTCTCTGCAGCACCCAAAGGGACACCTGCCACACTTGGCAGAATCTCCCCTCGTGTAAGCACTTCTAAGGTCTGCTGGCTTTTATATGACCACCTGGTAGATCTGGTCGCTATCAGACTCCTCATCAAATGAAAGGCTTGCTGCCTATGGGTCAGACCTTTTGCTGGAAAGCGTGGTAACTGGAAAATACTATAAAGAGTAAGGACAGAAGTCACATTCAGCAAAAGACAGACAAGGGAGAGAAAGAGTAGGGAATGTTAGTGGTCCAGACAGACAAAGAGTCCTCTACATGCAGCTGTTTGTAATGCTCTGGGAATCCACACAACAGACATGGGACCCCCCCCCATCCCTGTCCCAGGAGCCAGGACAGCGTATCTGTACAATATTAATTTGTAATCAGAGAACTTATTCTGGAAACTGTACAAGAGACTAGCTGGGTCATTAGCTCCCACTGTTCTGTCTGCCATGATTCAGAGCTTTCTTTAGTGCATGACTGAGTCCACAATGGAGGAAATAAAAAGGCTGGTCAAGTTGAAGAGAACAGGTGGTAAACAGACAGAAGTCAAGATGTCTGGCGGCAAAACTGTTGGGATTTTGGAGCACTTTGGTCTGTTTTAACACTGTACMTTTTAATTTATTTATGTTTATTTATACTCCATGATTGTTTTAGTAAGAATTTGATGTCCCCCCATAAGGGAATGCAAAATATAAACAACAGGATTAATTGAAAGTGAGTTCAAAGGAGAAGGAAAATACAGGAGTGACAACATAAAATAAAGCAAAGATGTTGTGTTTACTGAATTGGCCTCCATGTTCAAGCCACAATTTATCTACAAACATTTAAAACAACCAATTAGAAAAAGGAAGCCCAATTATACTCATAGTTCACAGTGTCTTTAAGATGAAACACAAACCATTTGCCTGAAGTTATGGAGTTCTTGATATAGTATCGACTGGGATTTGCTAGAGAAGAGATACCATGCTGTGTGATATTATGAACAACTTTTTAAATGAAATCCTTTTACTTGAAACTTTATGGCAATTTCTCTACWTTGGCTGCTGGCATTGCACTAATGTACAAGCCTGAGAAAGCAAACAAAGCCAAGGACAACTCCAAAATAAAAAATTGTACCAAGGAAAAAAGAAATTTTTGAGTTTTCTATCTGTCTAGATCTGGCTTGATCTAGATGTGAACTGAATACTGACCTGGTTTCTATCAGATGACCTCCTCTGTGTATTGTTATATAGCCTGAGTCTGTTTCTTCACCATAAAATATGAATGGTATATTCCTTCAGTACTGAGATACTTACAACACTTAATAACATATAACATGAGCATAGTACCTGACATATAATGCATTTATAGTACATCCTAGTTATGTTTAACCAGGGCAGCAATGCAAAAATCCCAGTGCACATTAGTTGAATTACATGACAGAATTTGCCATTTGTTGCTACTAAAGGACTGAGGCCTGGGTAAAGCACCCGGGAGATGTTTTGTGGACAAGGAGACTCTATGTGGGTTGAAGGTGGGCTGTGTGTCACCATGCAGCAGAAGGCTTACTTTTCAAAATGTTGTTCGCAGGAATTACACTCTATAGCCACCCATATGGAGGATCCTTGCTGAATGAAGACAAGATGTGAGTTGAAGGAATGCTGGAAGGGCCCCAAGTATGGAAGAATATCTTTGAGTCTCTTAGTGGTGATTTTGATCCCTTTTTGACATTTGTTGGGAGAGAAGTTGGCATATATAGTTAGCGGCACAGGGCCTGGGCATCTCTTTGAAAAGCAGGAGGAAAGTGATTATTAAAAGGGTCAGTGCTTTGACTGAGCTTAAAATGGATGAGAATATCATGCAGCTCTATTTTTAAGCAGAAATCATCCTAAGGGGATGTGTTTCCCACAGCTTATGGGACTGCACATCTTCCAGGACACTTTTTCAATTTAACATCATAAATGTGGAATTCAGATAGGTGAATATAGTAGTGTCTCCCTGGATATTTCTCATGTGAGATTTTCCTCACAGTCCCAATGGGGCTTGGAGCCATTGGGCAGGTGTTAAAGCCAGCTCTTTTAGGTAAGAATGTCAGTTTCCTTTGTCTTATTACAAGATATAGTTCTGTCCAACTTCTCTTTTTTTCTTCCATCTCCCTTTCCATATCATGTTTGACAAACTTTTAGTTAAAATTCAATAATAAATATAAATACTATTTATGYACTTGCTATGACCTACCAAGGTGAGAATAAGATATGCTTAATTGGCATTCTCTCCTCAAATCATTACCATCACAGAAAGGATGGGTTGCAGTTTGTTCTCTCATTCACATACTGATTTTCAGGATAATATCTTTAACAGTCTCTGACACCTGCCTAGAGTTCTAGGAGTGGGCTAGTTGACATCTTTTATAGAACAAGACATGTTGGAAAAGAAGGCATGGCCCAGCGGATGTTTGGTGGTGAAATGTTTCATCATGTTGGACACCTGAAAGATCCTTTGTGCACTGCTGTTCCCAGAGGTGGAACAGAGGAGAGCAGGCAGCAATGGCTGGACAAAAGAACAAGAGTAGTATTCCAATTTTAAAAAGTGCCCAAGAGAGTGTGCAATGTGTATGATTAGACCTTGACCATTTGTAAAATTATTTTGGTATTTTAAGTAACTAAATTTGGAGATGGGCCTGCAAGGTATGCAAATGCCCCTTATTGGCAGGGGCTGCTGTAAAACAAAGAAATCCCAATGTAGGCAAAGTCCACACTGTATTTTGAATGTCACCCTGGGCATGTCTTTCATTTCAAATTGCTCCTCAACTTTATAATTCTCAGTTATGTCTTTTAGCTTCTGAACAATAATCCATGTCTCCAAAGTTGGTCACAGGGATTTAATGAAAGAATTCTTATATTCAGCTAGTCTGCCTAAATGATTATCATCCCTGATTTTAATAGAAAGAAGACCCCTGTTCTTCCTCTAAATCTAACAAGCTATTCTGTTTTGCCTACAGCCTGGAGAGCATCCGCCAGTGTGGTGTTGCCCTCTGCATTGTGCTGGGATTCTCTATCCTGTCTGCATCAATTGGTAGCTCTGTGGTGAGGGACAGAGTGACTGGAGCCAAGAGGTTGCAGCACATAAGTGGCCTTGGCTACAGGACTTACTGGTTCACTCACTTCCTGTATGACATGGTAGGATTTGGGATGAGATCCCAGTAACCTCTATGCTAGTGATCCCTTCAATGTGTGTGTGTGTGTGAGGGTGAGGAAGAGGAGACCTGGGCGTGTGGGGACTATCCGAAAAAGAAGGGATCATTTTATTATTGAGAGCATTTCAGGTTAAGTCACCTGTACTGGTCATTATCTGTCATTTAGGAATGCTTCATATGGCAAAGWCTCAGGAATCTCAGGCTGGGAAATGAAGAGCCTGACCAGAAATGCAAAGTTTCTTATTAGGGAAATKAATAAATAATCACCTTTAATATGCACTTTTGAAGGGGTGGGTGATGAGGTGATTAATAAATAATTAGAAAAGATCTGTCATCTGCATGCTTAAAAGCACCCCCACTGAGGCTTGAGCTCCATTCCCTAGTTTATACAGCAGTTATTAGTATTTCTTGCAGGAATTCAGTTTCCCAGCAGAAACTCTCCTGATCATTATCTGTGGTCCCGAAGAAGACAGTAACAGATGCATTGTTGAGCTGTTCCCTAGAGTTGAGGCCATTTATCTTGCTTTAGAAAGTGCATCTTCTTTGAGAGAAGTGCTCTTTGATGGTCAGTAGTCACTTTCATTGTTACACAGTGGCATTGCCCTTTTTGTAGGAATGTGATATTTTTGTCCTTGTGCCTTCATAAATGACTCATCCTATGATTTGAGAAATTTTATGTCTGTGGGAGTAGGGCAGGCTTAACATTTGCTGAGTACTTGCCATTAACTAGGTTCTATAACAGCTATGTTATTTTGTGCAGAATCTGATGCATTAACATGTTGCTCTTATGTAGTATTTATTCCTTTGAGCTGGCTTCGAATTTAGCAGATTTGTTTCTTTTTGATCATGTAACCTAGATTTTTTTTTAAAGTACAGTTTATGCAGGTCACACCTGAGTTCATCTCAATCAGGGTTTTCCCCAAACCTACTTGGGTGGTAGTAACCATCTAGACACTTCCCTAGATTCCTGAGGGCCCACCTGCAAGATTATGTTCTATGGGTGTGGATAGGTCTTTGAGGTCTTCCTTTCATTAGAACCCCAAGGTAATTTATGAATCTCAAACAAGACTGAATAATGCTGGTCCTTGGATGCCCTCATCTTTACCAAGGGGTTCTTGAAGGCTGGAGAGAGGAAATGGTTCATCCAGGGATCATAATTCTGGTTGGTATGGCACAGGCTCAGTGCCTGCTTTTACCTCCTGTTCAATTTGGTGCAGTACCACATGTGGCCAAGACTCACTCTTCTGTTCCACGTCTCCCATTCATGGTGTCTAATGGACTCACCATCCCCAGAGAAAGGGAAGATGAACCAAGTCATAGGACCAGGACACCAGAGAGCATCCAAAGTTTTCCAAAACCCTAGGGTTTTTCTTTTGCTACCTCCTTAATTGACAATCTCTTTATTCCTCACACTCAATGTGAGGCTCTTATTTACCTATAATATTTGTCTTTGGAGTTTCAGGATAGGGAGGATTTATTAGCTTCTTGATTTATTGTTTGTTCTATCTTTATGCATCCATTCCCTGATTATTCTATTTGATGACTCATTAGATGAATAGAATAAATGAATAAAATATTTTATTCATTTGACCTTCTATGTGTCAAAGTATGTCTGGATGTTAATTTCCACCCAAAATCCAACTTTCAAACCCAATAGTCAATGTAATGGTATTAGGAGGTGGGACCTTGAGAGGAAATTAGTCATGGAATGGGTCAGTGCCTTTATTTAAGGACCTTAGAGAGATCTCTTTCCATTTCCACCATGTGCAAACACAGCGAAAATGAACCATTTATGAAGAAAAAGGTGGGCGGCCCCTCACCAGAAAACAAATCTACTGATGCCATGAATTTGAGCTTCCCAGCTAGCAAAACTGTGAACAATACATTTCTGTTATTTATCAGCTGCTCAGGCTATGGTATGCTATTTTAGTTACTCAAATGGACATAATTGTTGATCCTAAAGTCATGAAAAAGTGAGAGAATATCTCTCCCRTCATAGCGCTTATAATCTAATGGGAAGCAGTAGAAAACCACTAAATAAATGTACCAGGTAGAAGGGGCTCAGAGCTAGATGTATTGAGAAAATAAAAAGGGGCAATAGGGAGGAGGATAACTTTAAATTGGGAGGTCAAAGAGGGAAATGAAATTTAAGCTGAGATCTGAAAAGTCAGCATGAATTAGCCACATGGGTGACACTGAGAAGAGCTCTACAGCCAGAGGCTCCCCAAAGAATAATCTTTGAGTATTGAGAGCCCCAAGAAGCGCCCTGGCTGTTGTCCTGTGGGAGTATCTCAAAGGAAGGCTATGTAGGAGGGCAGAACAAGGAGTCTGCCCTTCATTCTACATGTGGGCAGAGCCTTGTTCTTGGAGAGTGGCTGGATTCCTTGACCTTTCTRAAAGAAGATGGGTAGAACTGACCCTGTCAGGCTGCTAGGGCTGCCATACCCCAAAAGACCACAGACTGGGCACTTAGCAGAAACTTATCTTCTCACAGTCCTGGAGGCTGCAAGTCTGAAACTGAGGTACAAGCAGGGTTGGTTTCTCTGAGGATTCTATCCTTGGCTTGTAGATGGTGCTTCTCGTGTCTTTGTGGTTTCATCCCTCTGTGTATCTGTGTGCYGATTTCCTCTTCTTATCAGGGCACAATCACATAGGACCAGGCTTCACGTGTGAACTTAATCACTTCTTTGAAGCCCTGTCTCCAAATACAGTCATGTTCAGAAGTCCTAGGTGTTCAACAGTTGAATTCTGGGGGGGGGGGGGGGACATGACTCAGCCCATAACAGTGACTGTCCTGATTGTCTAGGACAAATTATACTACCAGTCTTGCAACGTGTGAAGTAGGAGCTATGTTTAAACAGAAGTTAACAGGAACATTTGAGATAAGTAGCTAATGATACATATAACATGACCAACTGATGCAACACGTCTCYCTTTTTTTCTTTTTATTTTCTCAGCTCTTTTACTTGGTTTCCGTCTGCCTGTGTGTCGCCATTATTATGGCCTTCCAGTTAACAGCTTTCACTTTCCGTGAGAACTTGGCGGCCACAGCCCTCCTGCTGGCACTTTTCGGGTATGTGATGAGAAACACTGCTGCAAAATTATGGTTTGTTTTCTGAAAGAGAAAACCCTCAGGATGGCTTTGAACCTGCTGTTGGCTTCATGATTTTCTCTCCTCCTGAGCAATTATGTTGCTTCTACAAGGGACGCTGAACAAACAAGCTTGAGCAAGATGATGAATGCTCCCGTGGAGGGAGGAAGGGTGACAGGGTCATAATGAAGATGGCATTGGCCCTGTCTCAGAAAGGCCCTCAAGCTGTTTGACAAACTTGTGCAGTGGGAAATGGATTCTCTGTTATTCTCACTTTGACATTAATCGTGGGCTCAAATACATAATCCAGTTAGCTCTGAAATTGCATTTGAGGAGATTCTCTTGTGAAGCGCTGTCTGGCATATATTTCCCTCTCCTATAACGTTAGTAGTTGGAAAATGTTTTGCCTGACTTTGACTACTTTTTTCTCAGAGAAAAAAATCGCATAAAGAGAAAAATCACTGTACAAATTTCTCATATGTACACTAATCAGGATCATTACGAGTGGACCCTAAATAATGCCTATCTGATATCAGAAATATRTGTCTTATGTGGCCAGCGTATGTGTTTGCTTATAGATACTTTCTTATAGGGAAATAATTAYTGTACTTACTTTATCGTAATTCAAGGCTATTTTGAAATAAAACATTCAGCTTTAATTTAAGCCTAAGATTACAACTAAAATGATTTTTACATACTTCTTATATCAGTGATTCAGGATTTTTTAGAACRTCTAATTAGGTGATGAAAAATTATTTGAAGAAGTATTCATCATTATCAGATGAATGGATCAATAAATTAATTGATAGATGAATAAGTGGAAGGATATGTAGGAGGACAGAGAAAGGGCAACAGGAATATTGATATTGCTACTCTCTAATACTGTGGCCTTGGAAATATAAATTCTTCTGTCTAAGCCTCAGTATTTCMCTGTAAAACTCAAATTCTGTTTCTGGAAAGATTAAATTGGATAGTTCCTGCAAACAGCTTGTCTAATGAGTGGTACAGAGTCCAATTAAATTAATTTTAGCTATTATTGTTACTCTTGGAATTATTTTACTCTTTTGGAGATACGATGCCCTCTGCTATAAAACATGCTATAGTAGACATGTTTTTTTTTAATATTCAGTTTGAAATTAAGCTCTTATATAAAGAACTATATATGTATATGGCCTGATTTTTAGTTTGTTGATCCCATTGAGTACATAAGTCATATGTCTTATAGAGTTAGAAAATGGACTTTACTAACAAAAAATAAATGATTTTTGAATTTTAGAGGAACAGATTTCAAAAATTAAGAAATATAAAGTCAATGTTTAGAAATTCTTATAAGCATATTTTTTTGAGAGAGAGAGATTTTTTTTAATATTTATTATCAGTGGACACAGCATCTTTATTTTATTTGTATGTGGTGCTGAGGATCGAACCCAGCGCCCCACGTATGCCAGGCAAGTGCGTTACCGCTTGAGCCACATCCCCAGCCCCCTTATAAGCATATTTTAAGGAAATTTTATTAACCATAAATTTGATTATGAGCTCCTTTAGGAATTTGCACCAAGTTAAGAATTCTCCCTATGTATAGAACTACATTTTTTAAAAAGAGGTTTAAAGACTCACAGATCTGTTGATAAACAATTTCTATTACAAACTTCCTGTTCAGAATTCTTAGGTTAGCAGRAATAAGAAGATATAAAAGATAAGTCAGACTGTGTTTGCTATCTGGACTAATTTCCAATAAAGTAGAGCCCAAAAGAGTTCATGGGGTAACATCTAGTCGTAGACTAACCCAGATTTAAAAGGTCATTATTTCCTCACTGGAGCTCAGCCACCCCCCTGTGAAACTCTGAAACCAGTGACCCACTACTATGGGTGACAGAGCAGAGAGAGCCTCGGTCTGGGGAGCTGCATCTCCTGCATACCCAGCCATCTATGKGTGAGGATGCAGAGGTGACTCACTCTTGTCCCCACCAGGACCTGTAGGTACCAGAAGCCCAAGAACAATCTCCAGGAAGGCTGAGTCCCAGAACAAGCTGGAACCTCAGAACACATCCATGATTGAGGGAGGGACATGCAATGAGTTGGACTCTAAGAAAATAAGAGCTGAGATAAATGAATAGATGCTCTCTAGGAGATAACAAAACACAAATGCCTCCTCACAGTGTTTATCTTTTTCTTTCAAGTAAAAATTGATGGAAGGGGATTATTAAAAAGAGGAAAATAACACTTAAAATTCTCTGAAAGAAAAAATAGTCTAGCTAGTATAAGAAAAATTTAAACTCTAGAATATATTTGGGGCATGTTTGGTGCTGAATGATTATGAGGATGAAGTCACAGAATCCTCTCTGGTGTCTTGGGAAATTCACACAGAGTAGGGAAAGGGTCAGTTTTCGAAGGGGGGGGGATGTGATAACAATACCCTGCCATAAATTCCAGGAAACTACTCAGCAGTACACCAATGTCCAGCAAATTCTAAAATCCTTAAAACGATACATTATATTTTAGTAAAATATCATGGAATAGAAAAAGCTAAAGTAGGGTTTACCCCCCTCAATAAATTATGTTCTACAAGTCAATTCAATTTTTTTCTTAAAAAATGCAAAAGATAAGGGGATTTGAGCTGCTAATATATTCATTTCAACCAAGTATTCAAAAGGTAACTAATGAAAATGTAGTTAAAAAAAAAGTGATGTGGTGGAATCATCACTGGCTGAAAGCCACTCTCAAAGGCTGCTCATTAATGTAGCAATAGGAGCTCCCTGGTGGCATCATTTAGACTATGTCTTTGTCTCTGATTCACTTTTCTTAGACAATGCTTTGATCTACTTGTCAAATATTTAAATGACAAAACCCAGTATGGAAACCTTATGTAATAATAACAAAGTGCAGATTCTGAGCCATCTTCAGTGGAGCAGGGCCTAGCTTCCAGGTGAGGATTAGTCCCTCCAATAGATTGGAGGAAGGCATTCTTAGATTTCATCCTCCAATGCAGAGATGCTGATCAAAGGGKGTGGTGATCCTGCTGTGCTTTGCGCAGTGCTGACCACATCAGATGCTCAGTGCAGAGCCTCTTTCCCCAATTCCCCTAAACCCCACATTGCCAAATTTAATAGAGAGAGCTGGCTGGATATCATGTTTTACAAGGAACAAAGAGTGATCTGGTCTTTTGTAGTGGAGGCATATGCGGACCAAAATGGTTATTTTCGGCTATTATGAAGTCTGTCATGTGGAAAAGAAAAGCAATCTGTTACATGTTGTTCTATAATATAGAGTTTGAACCAGTAGTTTTAAGTTAAGACAATTTTTTGTTCACTCCCAGAACAAATTTTATGGCAATTAAAGCTACCCCCAAATTTGACTCACATGCTGCTATTGCTTGTATATCAGTTGCAAAAATACTTTCAATACTGTGATTTTATTTGCTTCTCAACAAAGTTAGATAACAGAAGGTAGCACTTGATTTTTGCCCCAGAAGAGACAACAAAGGAGAAAATATAGATAAGTGGTGTATATGAGTGGGGGCAGGGGTTGATTCTTCTATGTAGTAATTTATTTCAGACAGATATTGACAGTTTGAAGAAATGAGAAGTCACAGTTTCTCTCTTAGTAATTATTTTGGTTTAACTTAATTCTTTTATACAGCGGCAAGTATTTTAGAATAATTGTTTTATGGCTCTCATCTCCAGCATGTGCTCAAATAATTTTCATCAAGTCCAAATTAGGATGTAGACTGCTATTGAGTAAAGTTTCTGAGATACTGTATGATTTTATATATAATATTCCAAATATTTTTCAAAATAAGAGAATGTAGTTTTTAGCCCAGGAATACATTCCAGTATCACAGATTTCTTTTGAAAAGGAAAGTTTAACTAAGATAGTAACCATCTTGAGGCCCTGACATCTCACATCATTTCAGTCTCACTAGTTAATGTATTAAGAAAAGCGTAGTCATTTAAAGGTACTGAAGTATTTCAGGTTTAACAGTCACTATAAAGAAAACAGTGATGTGTTTACCTTCAGTGTACAGAGAACACACAAGGACTCTGGATGTATGAAGCTTATGGGAAAGGCTATGATTTAAAATAAGTAGCTTCTTTGCTGATRTTTGGAACTATCATTCGAAGTGCCAGTTTCCTTTAATATGGTGTGCAATACAATGACACCATTTTGCTGCAACAGAAGGAAGTAGAAGGAAGTTGGCCATGAATGAAACTCAGTTTTAAGACTGTGGGAGATAAAACGAAGAAAATAAGAGGTTTTATTTTAGGGACAGGGTRGATTTTTAGATGTAGATGTCATCAGAAACTCACAGGGACTGCTTCCAGGGCTCAGTATTTAGCAATACTCCTTCTTACTCGGTCTTGGTATGTTCAGAAATTAATTCCGTGCCAGACTCATGTATGGTCAGCTCTGAAAGTTTGAAAAAGTTGTCGACTCTTGGTTGCTCTACCTGGAAGAGAAGGATCAGAGTTCCACCTTTTACATTGTTGGGTTGTGTGTGGAGGAATAGAGGACACTGTGGAAGTGACAGCATAGTGCCTACTATGAATATGCATTCTGTACATGAAACTTTCAGATTTTATCTTTATGCCTTATTTTTATGTAGAGCACTGGTGGCTTTTCATATTCTCATTATTTTTCAATTCTCACTGTAACAAATAAGCATTATTTCTTTTTTAAAAATAATTTTTTTAGTTATAGGTGGACACAATATCTTTATTTTATTTATTTATTTTTATGTGGTGCTAAGGATCAATCCAGTGCCTCACACATGCTAGGAAAGCACTCCACCACTGAGCCACAACCCCAGCCCCAAGCATTATTTCTTAACGATGAGACACAGAACAGAGAAGTGTCCCATTGCAGTAAGAGGTGGTGGGGGATGTCAGCTGATTTGCCCCAGGTCCCAAAGCTGGAAGGTCAGGCTCCTAACCAACGTACACAGTGCTCTTTCCACTATGTTCAGGGTCATTGGAAGCTGCAGAAAGAGCACTTTGTCTATTGGAGACCATGAGATATATTACATGAAGTGTATTTTTGTTAACTATGTACAGAAAAACCTTATCAGGCCAGTAAAATTGCATCTGTAATTCAGTCATTATAAAAATAAACGTAGGAGAATAAATATAAATTTCCACTCTGTTTTTCAGATATGCAACACTTCCATGGATGTAYCTGATGTCCAGAATCTTCTCCAGTTCAGATGTGGCTTTCATCTCCTACATCTCATTGAACTTTATCTTTGGTCTGTGCACCATGCTAATGACCACCATGCCCCGGATCCTGGCCATCATCTCCAAAGCTCAGGTCAGTCAGTGRCAATGTGCCATTTCTGAAGGAGAACAGGGATGCGTGTGTCTTTTGTTGTTTTTCCWACTGCAATTCAATGGAAATGTGCTAGTATCCACTGCCTTCAAATTCCAGAAAAAGAAATGCATTCTAATTTAAAAACCCATCTGTAGCATTATAAGAGCCATGTCCTGGCTTGGTGATAATTGAACAAAGGATGCACAGTTGCAACTGTTCCAAAAGCCAAGGCAGAKCTATGAAGATGGTCACTGCTGCATACCTGGCACCTTTCTCAGAGATGGTTCGATGGTGAAATACTGATTAATGATGGATGAGTTAATGCAATTGTTATAGTTAAAGCTTTGTCCCAGGGTTTCATAAACTGACTTCCAGACCACTCATGGATAATCAAATCAAGCCTTTATTGAAGCGCACCSGTGGCGGCTGACCAGAACATAAGGCTGTTCCCCTGATCAGCCCCGAACAATTGCAAGGGCACTCCTTATAAGCCTGAAAACCGCAAAAAGGGATGTTCAGGCGGTCTAGCCAATGCAAGCGAGCCAGGTTACAGAAGCAGGACAGTGCAGTCAAGCAGAGGGAAGCCTAACCAATCACAGTTAGCCCAGTCACCCCAGTTACAGAAACAGAGCCCCATTRCCCTAGTTACAGAAACAATGCCCCATTAGGTAGTTCCGTGTTCTTAAAGGTTTCTATAGCAAAAGGAAAAGAACATCTTGCTCCAGTCATGACTCTTCTACTTGGCATGGTTGTTTACAGGATGAAGTCATAAAACAAAATGGAGTCACATTTGCTCCTACTACCACACAATGATAAGTGCCTTGTCACAATGTCACCATGGCAGTGGCCGGATACTACAGTGTAGGATGGGCCACAGCAACTGACCCTACTTTCAGATCATAACACATCTATATGGATTCTGCCTTCTCTCCTATATCCCCTAGTACTAATTTAGTTTTTACTAAAGGAATAAAAAACAGTAAATTCTACTAAGAAATAGAGAAATGCTTTTCTTCATTAGGCCATTCCCATTAGCAAGGACCTTTTAGGGTACTTTCCAAACGTCCAAATAGGTGTCTAGGTCAAGCTGAATGCTTTCTGTAGACACATTCCAATTGTTCCTTGCCATTCCCCTTCTCTTCTGTCTCTCCTCACTCTTGGCCTGTGCTTCAAGCCATCTGACAGCCCATGTGTGACCAATGGGTATAGACTTCAGACCTTATGCTCTATTTTGAGCCTATATTTTAACCCTTTTTGTTTCTGCACTCTTTTCTCACCTCTGATCACACTGTTCCCTTCTGGCTTCCTGCTGTTCACATGAGCTTTGATTTCTCATTTGTTCCCAGGGTTTGACTGATGCTTAGTTTGAGGAAATTACCTGAGAAAGGTACAGAGCTCCCTGTTGAAGGATGTGCCGCTGGTGTCATTCCCAATGACTCAAGAACTGATGTCTACCTGATCAGGCAGCTTTACTCCTCATGACTGGATCAGACTTAGCAGTCTCTTGAATGATGGCCAATATTATTTTTATTATTGTGCCTCATGTTTGTGCAGAAGCAGTGAAGTATGTAAATATCCATTACACATTCAATGAGGGGAATGATCTATTTCAGTGATTTTTTTTTTTTTTTTTTTACAGATCTGGTTTGACAGTAATCTGTGTTAATATGTCTAGCCTTTAAATAGAAAGCTTTCAGAACAATTAATTGGCATTAGCTTGAGAAGAATATTGAAATCAGCAGAAGYAAAATACAATTTTCCTCCCCCTCTATCAGTTTGTAATATGACATGTGCCATCAGGAATACATAGGAACTATGGTGAAAAACAAATCAGACCCCAAATAAACAATCCCAAAGGTGAGAAACTCAGAATTCAGGTCAATTCTAGGGGACAAGATAACAGAGGAAACTAGCCAGGAACATTTTCATCCATTAAAGTCTAAAAGCATGGCAGGTAGAAACACATTGTTACTTCCAATTATAAACATCATTGCCTCCCTAAAGAAAATGCTAGCTAATAGGTACTATTTTTGCAAAAATAAAATTGGTCTAAATCAATTGGTAATAAGTAATAAGAGCAGTTTTATTACATTTTCCTATGTCTTTCTTTTCCTTTGCTCTTTATTTTGATATTCTCTGTCTTAAAAACTCACAATTATTCAAATATTCATTTCTAAGAAAAGTATTCATTTGTAAGTCATGGAACAATATGATCTCACAGATTTAAAGAAAGAAAACAAACAAAAAAAAAAGCAACTGGCTTCTCAGGTCAGTCATAACATCTAATATAACCCATATGTATTAGTCAGCTTTTTGTTGCTTTGACCAAAATACCTGACAAGAAGAACTGAGAGGAGGAAAAGTTTATTTTGAGGTCGTGGTTTTCAGAGATTTAGTCATAGGCAGGTGACTCCATTGCTCTGGGGCCAAGGTAAAGCAGAATATCATGGCAGATTGGCTTGGTGGAAGGGCAATATCTGTTCTTGGCATCCAGGAAGCGGAAATAGAAAGGGGAAAGGCCAGCAGGGAAGATGAACCCTTTCACGGCAGAATCCATCCTCAGTGGGTACTAAGGTGGTACCARTTCCCACCTCCTCCAGCCATGCCCTACAGTTAACATCCATTTAGCCCATCCAAACTAGAATGGACTGGTTAGGTGTAGCTCTCAGAACCCAGGCATTTCACCTTCCAACATTGCTGTATTAACACAGCAGGAGCTTTTGAGGGGCACCTCATATCAAAACCATAATGTCATATAACCATCATGCATATAAACTATAGTGTTGATATGATATTTTTTCATTGTTATCAAATCATAGTTGATAAAATCATGCTTTTAGTTTCTAGTGCAAGGAAGTTTAGAGTCTCTCTCTCCTACTGGTAAGGATTCCAGTTGGGGCCAGGAGGATGTTGGTGGAGTTAAAAATAATGGTGCTTGTTTCTGGGTAGACTGGTCATGCGATCAGTCTCTACATATCCTAAATGAAACACTGTGGATCCTTTTTCCATGAATGCAGCTACAACCCCTCAAATGYGTGGACTCTTTATTAACTCAGTGTTCATGCGTCTTTGTTCATACTTGTATGGAGATGATTGTGAATTCCTTAAAATGAGATATGAAGTCATCACCATTAGTATGTCATTTCCTTAATTACCTACCAATTCCTGAGTTAAAAGCTACACTCTTCTGCTGTTCCTATACCAACACTAATAATATAAAATCTTTTCATGAGGTACATTAATTGATCCAGGGATATAGTTTTATGAAAAGTGGAATTAATAAGCTCCTTTAGGACTGATCAAAATTTATAACTAGTAGCAGTCAAGAAAAAACTAAGAAAGAATTAAATGAAGCTTTTGTATTTTCTTCATGTCTACATGCAAAAGACAATAAATCATATTATGATAGTAAATGCCTTAAAAATTGTTATTAAATTTGCTGTAGCCCAAAAACACATTATTTAAGGCTATACTTAGCTTAGTTAAGTGTTTAGTTTGAATTATAAGGGAAAAACTGTATATTATCTAGTGAGAAATATGCATTGACAATTATGTAAGTTTATTTTTAATATATATTATATGATATATATATATATATATATATATATATATAGTATATCATATGAACATATTGTGATGATTTTTCCTAACTTATAAAATAAACTTGATCATTTTTAGATAGAGTAGAGAAAGACTGTAAAATATAAGTCTAATTCTTCATTATATTTGCAGGGCTTTGGTAGTTCAAGTTAATGTGTTCTTTCTGGGTTAAATACTTTCAGGTAGCTGTACTGAGTCTAAAGGTCAACTGAACAGACCAGCATTTTGGTGAATTTTCTCCAAAGGCTATGCTCCTTAGTGGAAAGACCTTGTTCTTTGGATAGAAAGGTCAGGATCAATTCCTGGCCCTAATGAGTGTGGCTTGCATATATTAATYACCATTTGAGACTGTTTCTTCATTGGTAACTGAAGAAATCTTGTATATTTATTGAGAGAATGAAATATGATAAAGTCTAATGAAACTGAAAGCATATGACAATTTGCCAAAAGCATTTAGTGGACAATTGATTTAACAGTATAATAAGTTTAATCTCATTTAAAAGTAAAATTAGCATTTACCAGATAGTAACGACAAGAACAGAATGTATGAGAGATTTAAAATTTTTAGATATATTCTGTTTTAAAATTGTGTTCAGACATACAGTCTATCTTATTTGATTTGTTTCCTCTGGGATCTTTTTGACCTCTTATACATGTTTTTGTGGCACCACTCAATTTTGTGTTTAATAATGATGATGCATATATTTAATGTTTATTATGTGTTAAGAATTAACTAGACATTTGGTATATTATTTAAGTGTTCACAGTCACAAGTTCCTGATATTTCCTACTCATTGAAACATTCATGTCATCTTTTGACTACTAATATTACCCATGTGTCTTAGTTTGCTCCTACTGCTGTAACAAAAACCACAGCTTAAACAGTAGACACATATTTCCAATAGCTCTAGATACTGAGAAGTCCAAGATCAAGGGGACTTTAGATTTGGTTCTTCATTGAACCCTGTGATTGACTTGCAGATGGCTACATTCTAATTGTGTCCTGAAAGGGTGGAGAGAGAGAGAGCGAGCATTGTTGTCCCTTGATGTTCTCATAGTATATTGATTCCATTTTGAAAGCTCCATCYTCATGACTTCATCTATACCTAAATACCTCTCAAAGGCCCCATGTCTAACAGTGACACATTGACAGTGTTGGCAATATTCAAAGTATGAATTTGAGAGTAGCACAAATATTCAGTCCATAACATTCTGCTCTTGGGCCCCCAAAATTCAAATCTTTGTCCCATGCAAAATATACTCATTCCATCTCACCAACCCTAAAGTCTTAACTCATTGCAGCATMCACTCTAAAATCTAAGGTCCAAAGTCTCATTTATAAATACCACCTGAATCAGGTATGGATGAGACTGAAAGTTATATTTCATCCTGAGGCAATTTTGTTTCGAACCGTGATCCCTTGAAACCAAATAAGTTATGTGCTTCCAAAATATAAAGGTGAGATGGCCATATATATGATAGGCATTCCTATTCTAAAGGAGAGAAAAGGAATAAAGGTGTCATGGGTGGCAAGCAGGTAAAGCCAAGCAGGGCAAATACCACTGTATCCAAAATCTGAAGAGTAAAYTTCTTTAGTTTGATAGCTGTGTGAGGATGCTTCTGAGTAGTTGGGATAGGGAAACATGGGACACAGCCCCAACAAAGGAGGAAAAGAAGTTATGTTATAAAAAGAGAAATAATTTTTAATTTTATTGTTTGTTTYTCTCTCTGTGCAGAATTTACAGAATATCTATGATGTCCTCAAGTGGGTCTTCACTATTTTCCCTCAATTCTGCTTGGGTCAAGGACTGATAGAACTCTGTTATAACCAGATCAAATATGACCTGACCCACAACTTYGGCATTGATTCCTATGTGAGTCCCTTTGAGATGGACTTCCTGGGCTGGATCTTTGTGGTATTGGCCTCTCAGGGCACAATTCTTCTCCTCTTGAGGATCCTACTGCACTGGGACCTTCTGCAGTGGTCAAGGTGTGTTCTGAAGGGCTTTGCCTCTCATGGCAGTGACTTTTGAATAAAGAGAGGGAGAAAAAAATGTCCAGCCTGGAGGTTGCAAGATAAGAAAAGTGTCTGATCAGTATTATGCATGGTTATAATAAGTTAAGATATTATGTTTCTTTTTTTATTTTGATTCATGTTGAGTCACCAACACCAGAAAAAGGGAATTTCAAAAGATAAAGTGCCAACTGGTGAGATAATCGTTCCAATTATTTAGTTGTCCCCGTGTATTTTCCACTTTGAAATTGCTCAATTTCCTTGTTACTTTGTAGTTCCTCAGGTGAATTTGGTTGATACCATAAAGTAATTTATTTTATGACTAAATGCCATTAACTCTTGGAAGCAGGAAAGTATGAAAATTCAGTAGAGATAACTGCATGGCCTTCACCCAATCTAGTTCCTTCTATTGCTGTGTTCTTATCTTTGTTAAGTTAGAATACAAGTCAGTGCCATGCACAGTTTAGATAGATGCATAGACACGTATTATAGTCTATATACATGCACAGAGACAAACACACATACGCATACACCCACTTTGCAAAGAAGTCTAGATTATTGTCAGATAATACATTTGAGATACATAGGGAAGAAATGTACTTTCTTGTGCAGGTCCTCAATGATGCATCTCCTCCTGCATGACCTGAATCCATTGACCTGCTCTTTCCCAGTGCTATTTCCCTCTGACTTCTRCCTAAGGGAGAGATTCATTTTGGAGAAATTGTTAAGACCCTGTTACTGGAGAACCTATTAAAATTATAAAGGCTAACTAACATTATTAATATTTTATGGTGATTTTCATATACGTATGTTTTCCTTTTCAGTCATTTCATGATGCATTTTCTCACATATCCCATGTAAGCTGCTAACGTAGAGAACCATTTTGAATACAAGTTCCAAAGCTCTTTTGAATTTGGCCATAATCACTCTGGAATCTGCAGATTTATAAAAACTGACTCAATTTGAAGTAGAAATCTGAGAGCTGTACAAATACAGTTTGTGCTGTGATATCCTTTCACAGTACAGTCTGTTTTAAAACCTGTAATGTAGACCCCCCTTTGGCAGAATTTCAGCTGCTTCATCCTCCTATATTATCAAAAGATTTTTTTTTTTTAAAGAAAAGACATTCTGGGTTGGGGATACGGCCAGTGGTAGAGCACTTGCTTCACATGGTATGAGGCTCTGGGTTACACACACACACACACACACACACAAAAAAAAAAAAAAAACCCTCTGGATTATGTTTATTTTGTAAAGTGTAAGTATTAGTTGAACCTTATTTTAGAATTTTTGTCTTTAATTGGGCCCAGTGACACACACCTGTAATCCCAGCAACTTGGGAGGCTGAGGCAAGTTCAAATCTAGCCTCAGCAACTGAGTGAGGCCTTAAGCAATGTAGTGAGACCCTGTGTCAAAATTTTTTTAAAAAAGAATTTTGTCTTTAATATTCACAGTAGATAGTCAATTTTGTTGTTTTATGTCTRCATAAAGGTCACAGAGCAAAGAAATTTAATCTATTTAGATACCAGTTGCTTGATGCTCCTTTATAGATATCTGTCAAAATAGTTCAATGACTGTGAGATGCTGTCATTTTTGTCATTTAAATCCAGATCCAATGGGGTCACTAATTATTATTTAAAAGGTACAGTCCAAGGTTTTTAACAAGCACCTCTAACTCTGGTGCTCATGCCTGCTAAAGCTATCTGTGATCCTTCGCCATCACCACAGAGTTTGTTAATATGTTTGCCTCATATTACCTGCACCTGTCTGATTTCACATCCAACACCTCTTCCTKTCTCTGCTAAGCTCCCAAATACTTTGACCCATCTCAACATGTCTATAACATCTTTTTTTTTTTTTTAATCTACGGGGCGCCTCTGTAGTATTTATATGTCAATTATCTCTGCTTAATTACAAGCATATAGGAAAATTATACATGCCATAGTTGAATCTTGGAAGAGAATAAGACCATGCGCTCTGAATAGGAACAGAATAGAYTTGGCTTTCCCTATTCTGAGTAGTGCATCTGTCACTAGAACCTTGGTGCTAGATGTTGAGTGTGGAGCCCACCTCACTGCTGTCATTGTCTAATACACCCTGGCTCCATTCCGAAACCCCTGGTTGTCTGCTAAGAATTCAGGTCTCGGTTAGCATTCAGCTGTAGCCCAACATCATCCAGGTTGGGTGAGTTTGGGGATTTCTTTCCTGCTTTCTCTCTCTCTCTTTTTTTTTTTTTTTTTTTCTGGAGCTGGGGTGTGCTCTCTGTGTCCTTTGTGCTGGCTGAGTTAGAATAGCCATGTGGTCCAGATACTAGGTATGCTGGGGCATCTGCAAATTTCTGCTATATCTAGTGTCCATCTGGATCTTTCTTCTTTGATAAAGATACCATTTATTGTGATTTTCAGTTGGAAGATGTCTAACGGTCACATTGCTGAGTGCAGTTGAATGAATTAGGATTGTGGATTGTTGGAAGGGGGCCCAACAAGAAGTAATCTTCGTCACTTTTTCTCCAGCCACCAGAATTAGTTGTGAAGATTAAACAGTTGTGCACATCTGTGTCCCTTCCTGGTACCCTGAGATAAGTAACTCTGGGTTGAGACCCGGGAGGTATCTGTAAAGTACCACAGGTTGTGTGGAGATCATCTGGAGACAGGATGGCATAATGATGGCCTGATCCATTAGAGTAGGAAAAGGCCTTTGAAGGGCAAAGCCCAGGTGAAAGATCAAGAAACASAACTTCATCTGGGACGGGGAAATGACATTCAAGCAGGAAAGGTATAATTTTGTGGATTTTTAGAAATTGTACACACCCATGTAACCCCCTCTTAGATTAATTGAATATATTTAACACCTTTGATGCTCCTTCCTCATCAATAATTGCCTTCTGGGTAACTGATTTTCTTATTTTTATATGCATTGATTCATTTTTCATTCTTTGGAATGTTATATAAATGATGTAATATACACTCCTGAATGTCTAGCTATCAATCATCAAAGATAAGTGTGAAATATATTTTTGCCAAAAGGTGATTTCAGGTCTGGGAAAAAAATACAGAAAAAAAGAGTTAAGATAACTKAGGACTGGCAGTGGATATTTTCATTGAGTTTTAATAGCTTCTTATTTTAAAATAGTTTGAGAATTGCAAGGTTGGAAAATTAAGCTCCTATTACCTTTCACCCATTTTCCTCCATAACAACATGATAACATATTCCATAAAAATATTGCACTGTGAAAAGCAGGAAATTAGTGTTAGTATAATATTGACTTGGTGGTCTGTACCTATTTAATCATTAAAATATAGGCATATTACAGTTTACAGGGGAAATTGAAATTTACTTGAAAGTTAAAATGCATCAGATTGAAAACCATAAAGAAAAGAGAGCAGCTTAGATTTAGAGAGAAATGGTTAGAATTGATAATTAAATTTGTATTCATCTGGAAAAWACTTATTGAATACTTTTTGCAAGATGTTGTATGATGTGCTAGCAATACAATCCTTATATGCAATCCAACTTAAACTATAAACTTATARTATTTGGATGTTTTAATAATTTATTTTATTAAATGAGCTATTTCCTATAAAAGTTGATATAGTTTGATAGCATTTTTTTGCATTTAGTAAGGTCTGGATTTACTTTATTATTCATAAAATTAAAAACTATTTCTAGTTGAGTATCAATCTATTTCAGTATCTTTTAGTAGCATGTATATTTCCTTCAAATTAAGGAATGAAATTAACTCTTGCTGGGAATCAGTAAGCAGGATGTCAAGATTAAGGTGTTTTGGTTGAAGGTGATATAGATATATGAAGGTGTTTTCTCTTGTTTTCATAATCTCTCTTATAGAATATCCCAGTATAATTTCCTAAGTATGAATTGACTCTGACTTTATCTTTCCAGGGGTCATTCTTCTCTCCAAGGCACAGTCAAGTCTTCCAAGGATATAGATGTTGAAAAGGARCAAATGAGGGTGCTTGAAGGAAGGACCAGTGGAGACATCCTTGTGTTAAACAGCCTCAGTAAAAGTTATGGAAGCTTTTTAAAGAAGACTATGGCTGTGCAAGATATTAGTTTAGGCATATCAAGAGGAGAGGTAGCAAAGCTTCTCTTTTTATCCTTTTCTGTTGTGAACCTGTATAATTCTAACTGMTGATCTGTTTGTGATGTTCTCAGAATAGCTGAAATCATGGCTATATTCAACCTTTACATTTCAGGAATTTTCACAATCATAGGAGAAAAACCAAAAAGAGGATCCATTGGCTCTTTCCATAGTGAAATCACTGTTGATTRATAACATTTGTTTTATTTCATAATTTTTTAAATTTTATGTTACTCAGTAGTTTTCAGTATGGTTTGGACTATGGTATGTCTTTTTAAAAAATTAGCTGTAGATAGACACAGTACCTTTAATTTATTTATCATTATGTGGTACTGAGAATCGAACCCAGTGCCTCACACATTTAGGCAAGCCCTGTACCACTGAGCTCCACCCCCAGCTCTGGGATATCATTTTATTAAGTGAAAGTATATTATAGTTAATAAAAGAAACTGCTTTTTACTCTCATTTTGACTTCAATACTTTTTAAGTGTACAGTTAAGCCCAACTAATAAAATGCTACTCTGGAAACCCAAAGAATATTTTTCATACACCATTGCAAGAGCTGGGAATTTTTTTCATGGCTATGGCATTAATTCTAGGAGAAATCTTTAATCAGAACTGACAGAAGCCATATAAATTGTCMCTGATTTGTACTTAATGCATAAAGGGAAATCAATTCTGGAAATGATTACCTTTAATTAACTGTTAAAAATAAAAGAGCACCTTGCATGCATATTGTTCCAAGCTCCTGAGAATTTCAAAGTAGGCTATATTGTTATCTGATTGGCACCCATTCCCTGCCTTTGAGAGGAGAATAGASATTTCAGATATGAGTATTCTGAGGGGGAAAAAGGCAAAGAGAACAGCCTAAAGCATTCTGGGAAAGACTATGATTTCTGGTAGAAAAGGAAAAATGGTAAGGATGTGTTTACTTATAGCTGTTCTTTCTACTGCTTTAAGACTGCAGTCTAACCTATTTTATTTGAACATTTTTCACCCTTGTTTTGAAATTAATTAAAATCAATATTAATTTGCTGCTACTGCTCTATGGTAGGTTTAAGCTAAGGAGTAAGTGAAAAACTTGAAAATATTCATAAGAATGATGATTTATGTATCTGATATGAGATGCCATATAAATTTGACTTTTGTGTTAGTCAACTTTTTGGTACTGCAATAAAACAGGGGAGATAATAAACTTATAAGAGAGGGTATATTTATTTGGGCTCACAGTTCCATAGGTTTCAGTGTGTGACTCATTGGCTCCTAACTTTGGGCTTGTGTTGGCTTATTACATCATGGCAGGAGCTCATAGAGGAGAAAGATCATTCAACTCATGGCCAAGTGCAAAAGAAGRAGGAATAGAAGGGAACAGGGTCCAAATATCCCCTTCAAGGGCACACCCTCAATGACCTGACACTATCCACTAGGCCCTACCTCCTAACAGACTGCACCTATTCCCAGTAGCACCAAGGACTAGAGACCAAACCTTCAACATGKAGGCTTTTGGAGACATTCAAGTTGCGAATTATTATAAGTTTTATATGCTAAGCTTTTATGAGCATCACAGTTTAGTCACTCAGATGGGAAGTAATTTGTAAAAGCCTTCAGAAAATAGAAATGACTGAGATATGAACCTGTCCCTTTAGGAATAACTAACTGGATAGGAAACCAAAGATCAGAAACACAGTATTACACTACAGCATAAGCTTTGTCCCAAGGCAGGATAGGATTAGAAGATGTATGAGTGGTACTGTCTATAGTGCTTTATATCTTAAAGAATGTGCAAGGAAAGTAGAAGGACAGTTGCAGGGGGAGAGCTTTATTTCAAAGGTAGCTTTATGGCTAAGCCTTAAAACAGAGATACCATCTGGTTGGCCTGGTGGTGGTATGCCTTGGAGCAGCCAGCTATGGCCTGACTGACATCAATGACATGGGACAGGCCTGGACTGAGATAAAACCATATTTCAGATATGGGTAATTGGGAGAAATATGGTAATTAAAGCAGGTGGCAATTCAGACAGTGGCATTTAGAGGACTGATGTAGAGTACTGTGATAGCTGGGTGTGGCATGCTGACAGAAATCCATAAGCAGTCAYTTTCTAAGATCCCAGAAGCCAGGAAGCCAGTATATGAAAATAGATAGAATCACCTATTCATTCAAAAACTGTCTGGGAAGGAGATGGGCAAGAATCATATTCTCAGGCGCCATGTTGAATTCTCAAGCAGAGTATATACCTGGAAGCACAAGACTACATCTAGAAAAAAGAACCAGGAGGCCAATTTTTACATGGAATATATGATAGGATTGGACCAAGAAATAAGTTGATGWGTGTTAAGAGCATAAAACTAAGGGTCATCTTCTGAGTGTCAGGATTTGCATTGAGCTAGGAACGAATTTGTAACCTCTTCAGTACTCTTCAAGGAAGGTATACAGCTACAAGCAATATACATATGGAGAGTCAAAAATGAAATTTTTTAGAAAAAGCATTTTGGAATATACAGAAATGAATATCAAGAGCATAATTATTTCTACAAAGATATGACTTTCAAAGACCGTCATCTCTGCATAATTTGGGATAGTTAGCATTTACTTCTCATTCTTTTAAGTTTTCCATATATGAATTTACTTGTCTATAAGTGAATGCTATAGTTTTTATACTACTTAAATGCTGTGATGATCTTGAAAGTATTGTGTAAACCATAAAATGCTTTACAATGTGTGATTCTTTAAAATGTACAAATATCACATATCAATAATGTCAATTCAAAGTTGACTCAAAGAAAATGCATAATGTCATTATCATTATTTTTAACCTATTTTATTGAACTACATTTTTTTCCTTAGTGCTTTGGACTCTTAGGAGTGAATGGAGCTGGGAAGAGCACTACATTCAAAGTTTTGAATGGTGAAATTCCTCCAAGTTCAGGACATGCTGTTGTTAGGACTCCCATGGGGTAAGATCAAGATTTAATTATTTTGCTGTGCTGCCTAAGCAGGTAATAATCAAGCCCAGAGAAACCCCACATTCTTTCTGCCCTGTGGAATAAAGTTTGAAAGCACAATTTTCCTCCAAATTTATCTTCAAATCACCACTTCTCCAAAAGGGTAAGGGTGTCCATAATGTGAATGGAGCTCAAACCTGATAGCCAGAGCAAAGGGTCAGGGAGGTATTGTCACAAAGCAGCTGAGGGCAGACATCTCTGAGAGGCACCAGATTGCAGTTGAGATATCTGTATGTAACTCAGGTGAGCAGAAAATAGCCAAGGGTTGATTCTTCTTGCTTCTATGGATAAATCTTTCAATGTCCCCACCACCTCATTCTGTAATTCCTTCTGAACTGTGTGCTCAATTTGGAGCTTTTCCTCTGAGACCTGGGGACTTTGCTCCTCTTTCTGCCTGTATGTGGTGGCAGCATGTCCTCCTCTTTCCTGAGCTATAATCAGGACTAACATTTGTGGTTTTCTCTCTTCTACAAAGGGAGATTACCTGCTCCCCACTTTTCTGAGGCTGGATTTGCTACTTGATTCCTGTTCTAAATTTGACTTAATAGGAAACTTGGTTCAATATCAGACTAAACTCTTAATACTTTTAGCTTCACWGCTGTTTTCTAGTTATTCCTTCTCCACAAGCCACCCATGTGCACCCCCTGTGCATGTCCCCATATCCTAGTCTGTTCTCAATACTGTGCTGCAAGGCCCCAGGCATAGATCTTTTTATTTTCCTAGTATAGCAAACTCACTGTAATTTAATGATACATTTCAATTTCTATCAAATTATGAAATGAAAGACCTGTTTTCTGTGCATTCTCTGAAGGTCATTATATGACTATCCACCAAGTTATCATGAAGTTATTTGATTTCATAGGGTGTGCTGGGGATCAGAGAATCATTTCTACATAGATTTGGAGAAAATGTGCTTTCGATTTTTAACTTTTTTATGGCTTCAGATATAGTAATTGAATAAAAAAAAAGGTTCAGAAATGTAATCATCCATCAATTAGCTACTTCTTCAAATCAACAAATATTCATTGTCTGCCTGTGTTGTGTCAGGGGAATGAAAATTTTTCCCTAAAATCCATTACTGATATTTGCGTATCTCCTGTCAGTTTAATTTAAAGAACCATACAACTAATTTTATACGTTTTCTCTGTGTCTGCTTGTGTGTGTATAAGTGTGGTTGTTTATGTGGAAAGACATATACATGCTTCCAATTCAGATAAGATTTAAAAGATTGTTTCATTTCACTTATACATTTTATAGTCTTCTTCTATAACTATGATTATAAGTTTAAGTTTTTCAAATTGATGGGCATGAAATCTCCCTTTTATTTGCACTTCATTGATTCTGTCTGAACTCGAGTACCTTTCCCATATATATTTGTTACATACCTTTCCTTTCTGTCATTTGCAATTATATCCCTCAACCTTTTGTGTGTATTGTAACTTTTTTGTTACTTATAAATAAAGGAATTTGTTACATACTCTGCTGAAATATAATCTTTTGTATGTTTTCCCTGATTTTTTTTTCTTTCTTCCTTCCTTCCTTCCTTCCTTCCTTCCTTCCTTCCTTCCTTCCTTCCTTCCTTTCCTTTCCTTTCCTTTCCTTTCCTTTCCTTTCCTTTCCTTTTCTTTTCTTTTTTTTTTTAAACATGGATTGAACTCAGGGTCACTTAACCACTGAGCACATCTCCAGAACATTTTATGTTTTTTATTTTGAGATAGGGTTTCACTAAGTTGCTTAGGGCCTAACTAAGTTGCTGAGGCTGGCTTTGAACTCAAATTCCTCCTGCCTCAGCCTCCTAAGCTGCTGGAATTACAGGTGTGCCTTACCATGCCTGACATGTTTTGCATGTTTTAAATATTTCTTTATAGTGGTACCTTGTGTTTTAATTTTTGCTTAAAAGGTACATATATAAATTCTCTGTTTCAGTTTAGTCCATTTGTTTTCTTTTCTGTGTTATTTATTGCTCTTGAATATTAAGAAATTCTTCCCTTTTTGAGGTCATAAGACTTTTCTCCATATTTTATTTTCCAAAGATTTTTTTTCTTATACTCATGTGTTTATAGTATAGTTGAAATATGTATTTCTAATATAGTAGAAATATAATTTGATTTTTCCCTATATAATTGGTATCTAAAATGTTTTCTCAAAAACATATCCTTGTCCACCAATTGGAAGCAGTTCTATTGTGTACCAAAATCTGATATTTAATACTTGGCTTCAAGTTCTTTCSTTTTATGAAGCATCCTACTGTAGGGGAGGAACAGATCTCTGCTCTTTTCTTCCTTAGTTCTTACATGGGTTCTTTGAGTACAGGAACCATATCAATACAAGGAAGATCAACAAGAGAAAAGAAGACAAGTTTTATTAATTTTGTGTGTTCTTAGGGATCTTCAGAAAAGTGAGAAGTCTAAAGAAATGGCCAAGAAAATGCCTTTGTGCATTTTAGACAAAGAATGATAAATTTGTGAATGAATGATAGGACAAAAGGATCTCTGGCTGAGAGTAGTTAGATTCTAGGGATTCACTAAGAGGCTCTTGGGATTGTAAAACCTAGTGGAAGATTAGAGTTGCAGCCGTAAGTTTATTTATTAGGCTCCTTACAATCCCAATGTCCAGTCTTTAATAATACAAGSTACTTTCTTGCCCTGGTGCAGGAAAGACATCTTTATAGCTTGTTGCATGTAGGAAAAGACAGGCCACAGGGCCCTTTCTGCAGTTACAATTCCTCAGGTGATTTCAGTTTGAAATTACCAATATACCAATTCAGCATATTTTGGGATGATGTATTCTGAGCTCCTCTAGTACATTGAATTACTTGGTCCTTTTCTTAGTTCATTTTTAGAATTGCTTGGAATATTTGGGGTACTTTTTTATTGCATACTGTTTTAAGAATATAATACTCTGCATAAAAAGTCACAATATTTGATTGCTAATCAATATTTTGGATACAATTGCATCAAGTTTATGGTATAATTTGAGGAGATACAACTTCATTATGATATTTTGTCCATCTTATCTTTGATGGTGATTTGTATAAATACTTGAACCATCTTAAGAACATTATTTAATTATGTTTTGAAATTTGCCTCATAAAATCCTTGAATATCTTCTTTTAATTATTCATCCCAATAAATTTTGCTTCATCAGGAGGTAATTCATCTCTTATTTCTTTTCTTTTCCTTTAAGCTTTTTGTTTCTGGTTAGATTTTYTTCTGGCTTAGGAGTTTTCTAGCTAACATTGCTAGTGAGTTTATGGGGTTTTGCTTTTGCCCCTTTTCTACCCTTTTGGATACCGCCTCCAGTCTGGCATTTATTCCATGGACCTTTAGGATAGAAACAGGCCTTCTATTGACAACTTATGTCTTCATCTCATGGTTACATACGAAAAAGAGCTGGTTCCCATTCACCGGTATCTTGTTCTAATTCTGCCCTGCCAATCCAGCCTGGAAGGTGAGCAACTTACTACTGACCTCTGACACCTTTGCTCAGCCATTTTCAATAAGATGTTAGGCTCTCTTACCAACTCAGGTAATCACATAATGAACCTGATTTTTGTCCCCTTACAACACATGTCAATTATGAAGGACTATTTGTCCCCATTACCTTGTAGGGGACAAATTTGTAGCTACTTCATGAAATTCAAACCTAGTACTCAACCACTAGTGGTTTTTAGATCCTTCTTCTAGCTTTCTGTTTTGTTTTGCATCCACAAAGGTGTGTATTTTTTATCGTGGCTATTTATTTTAGGTACAAGTTATGTAGAAGTGAAGAAAATAAAAGTCCTTTACTCATAGTTTCTGTGTGTAGTGGAAGAAATTTAGAATATTGTGTCTGTAATTCTACAATAGAATTTTAATTGACTTTATGTTACATTTATGGATCAATTTGGAATGAACTAATATTTTGACAATGCTATGTTTTTCTCTTCCATAAAACATGTATATCTTACTAAAGTAAATAATTTATTTTTAAAAATAATTTTTTATTGTTGGTTGTTCAAAACATTACATAGTTCTTGATATATCATATTTCACACTTTGATTCAAGTGGGTTATAAACTCCCATTTTTACCCCGTATACAGATTGCAGAATCACATCAGTTACACTTCCATTGATTTACATATTACCATACTAGTGTCTGTTGTATTCTGCTGCCTTTCCTATCCTCTACTATTAAAAATAAATTTAAAAGTCATTCCTTATATTCTATCTAGAATACAATGCCCTTGTCAGTAATTAATGAAATATTTGTCTCCTTTATCTCTACAGTAATACTTCCAATTTCAGTTCTTCTAGAATTATCAAAGCAATGTTAATTACAATGCATTTTCTCATTTAATAGTTATATTTCTATTTACTAAATATAATGATTTGAGAATTATGTACATACTGTTCATCAACTAAAATAATCATTATTTTTCAATTTTATTAACATTCTTATAAGGAATATCCTAAATTTACATCTTAGCATTTATACACATGAATAATTTTATGGCTCTTTTTTGATATATTTGTTATAAAGACAGTATTCATGATTATTTATGTCCCTACCTTTCTACAATAAATTTTATTTATTAAAAGCTTTATTTACTTATTAGAAACTTGTATTTCTTTTCTCTTTTTATATCTGCATATTTGTATTTCTATAAAATAATCTTAAAGTCTTCTTCTGACTTTTTTACTTTGAAAAGTCTGATATAATGAATTTCTTAGCAATTTAATTTTTTATTATTTATTTTTTAAACTATTAAAAGTCATCCTTCAAATTTGTTCTTCAACTTTTTTCTTCTTTGTATAGCTTTATCTTGATCATAAAACCACAATATATGATATCATTGCTATTATTCTATAATGACATATGATTTTTAATTTTGGGTTTTTCTCAAAATTTAGAATATTTTTAAATACTCAATAATTTTTTGCTGTCATATTTTTGAAAATATTTTTAAAAA